TCCAAGAGCAGGATGTTAGAGAAGCTTTGAAAAGGATGAAAGTGGGTAAAGCGGTGGGCCCTGATGGTATTCCGATCAAGGTGTGGAGATGACTCGGGGACTTAGCTATAGTATGGCTAACGAAGATGTTCAACAATATCTATTGATCGAACAAGATGCCTAAGGAGTAGAGAAGAAGCATATTGTACCAATCTACAAGAACAAGGGAGACATCCAAAGTTGCACTAATTATAGGGGAATTAAGTTGATGAGCCACACGATGAAGCTGTGAGAGAGTTATCGAGCATCGACTGCGAGGAACGACGCGGGTATCTACGAACCAATTTGGTTTCATGCCCGGAAGGTCAACCATAGAGGCAATTTTCTTAATAAGACAAGTTATGGAGCGATTCATGGAGCAGCAGAAGGACCTACACATGGTTTTCATTGACTTGGAGAAGGCTTGTGACAAAATACCAAGGAATGTTATGTGGTGGGTGTTGGACAAACATAAAGTCCCAACAAAGTATATTATCCTCATCAAGGACATGTACAGCAATGCCGTGACTAGTGTCTAAACAAATGATGGTAACACAGACTACTTCTCGATTAAAATAGGACTCCATCAATGGTTAGCTTTGAGCCCGTATCTCTTTGCCTTGGTAATGGATGAAGTGACAAGGGACATTTAAGGGATATCCATTGGTGTATGCTTTTTGCAGATAATGTAGTGCTAGTTGATGAAAGCCAGGTAGGAGTAAATAGAAAACTGGAGTTGTGGCGGCAGACCCTTGAGTCCAAAGGTTTTAGAGTAAGTCGAACTAAAACAGAATACATGAGATGTGACTTTGGCAATGCTGCACATGAGGGAGAGGTGAGTTTGGAAGATCATGTGGTGCCTAAGAAAGATACCTTCCGTTATCTAGGAACGATGCTACAAAAGGATGGAGATATCGATGCAGACGTTTGACATAGGATCAAAGCAGGGTGGATGAAGTGACGCCAAGCATCTGGCATTCTCTGTGGCAAGAGGGTACCACAAAAACTCAAATGTAAGTTTTATAGAACGGTGATTAGACCCGCTATGTTGTATGGAGCAGAATGTTGGCCTACAAAAAGACGACATGTCCAACAACTGAGTGTCGTGGAAATGTGTATGTTGCGTTGGATTTGTGGTCACAAGGATGAATCGAGTTTGGAACGATGATATACGTGACCGGCTAGGGGTAGCACCATCACCACCAACAACAACAACAAAGTCTTTAAGTCCCAAACAAGTTGGGGTAGGCTAGAGTTGAGACCCAACAGAAGCAATCAAGGTTCAGGCATGTGAATAGCTGTCTTCCAAGTACTCCTATCTAAGGCTAAGTCTTTGGGTATATTCCATCCCTTCAAGTTTGCTTTTATTGCCTCTACCCAAGTCAACTTCGGTCTTCCTCTGCCTCTCTTAACGTTACTATCCTGGCTTAGGATTGCACTACGCACCGGTGTCTCTGGAGGTCTCCGTTGGACATGTCCAAACCATCTCAACCGGTGTTGGACAAGCTTTTCTTCAATTGGTGCTACCTTTAATCTATCACGTATATCATCGTTCCGAACTCGATCCCTTCTTGTATGACCGCAAATCCAACGCAACATACGCATTTCCGCGACACTTATCTGTTGAACATGTCATCTTTTCGTAGGCCAACATTCTGCATCATACAACATAGCAGGTCTAATCGTCGTCCTATAAAACTTGTCTTTTAACTTCTGTGGTACCCTTTTGTCACATAGGACACCAGATGTTTGCCGTCACTTCATCCACCCTGCTTTGATTCTATGGCTAACATCTCCATCAATATCCCCGTCTTTCTGTAGCATTGATCCTAAATATCGAAAGGTATCCTTCCTAGGCACTACTTGACCTTCCAAACTAATATCTTCCTCCTCCCAAATAGTAGTGCTGAAGTCACATCTCATATACTCAGTTTTAGTTCTACTGAGTCTAAAACCTTTGGACTCCAAAGTCTCCCGCCATAACTCCAGTTTCTGATTCACTCCTGTCCGGCTTTCATCAACTAGCACTACATCGTCCGCGAAAAGCATACACAAGGGATGTCCCCTTGTATGTCCCTTGTGACCTCATCCATCACTAAGGCAAACAAATAAGGGCTCAAAGCTGACCCTTGATGTAGTTCTATCCTAATCGGGAAGTCATCCGTGTCTCCATCACTTGTTCGAACTCTAGTCACAACATTGTTGTACATGTCTTTAATGAGCCCGACGTACTTCGTTGGGACTTTATGTTTGTCCAAAGCCCACCACATAACATTCCTTGGTATTTTATCATAAGCCTTCTCCAAGTCAATAAAAACCATGTGTAGGTCCTTCTTCTCCCTATACGCTCCATAACTTGTCTTATTAAGAAAATGGCTTCCATGGTTGACCTTCCGGGCATGAAACCAAATTAGTTCATAGAGACCCGCGTTATTGCTCTCAAGCGGTGCTCTATAACTCTCCCCATAGCTTCATAGTATGGCTCATCAACTTAATTCCCCGGTAATTAGTACAACATTGAATATCCCCTTTATTCTTGTAGATCGGTACCAATATACTTCTCCATTCATCAGGCATCTTGTTCGATCGAAAAATATGGTTGAACAGCTTGGTTAGCCATACTATGCAATGTCCCCGAGACATCGGTTGAGGTGGTTTGGCCATGTCCAAAAGAGACCTTCAGAGGCACTAGTGTATTGCAGAGTCATAAGTTAGAGATATCAATGTGAGGAGAGGTAGAGGAAGACCGAAACTGACGTGGGGGGAGGCAATAAAAAGAGATTTGAAAGGTTAGGATATACGTAGAGATCTTTGTTTGGATAGGAGTGCTTAGAAAGCAGCTATTGATGTGCCTGAACTGTGACTAGGGGCTCATGTTGGGTTTCAACTCTAGCCTACCTCAACTTGTTTGGCACTAAAAGGCTTTGTTGTTGTTGTTGTCGAGTCAGTGAAGGATTACAACTACCACTTTGGTACCTAGCTAATTAACATCGTAAGTATATGAAGCGGAGTAAGATTTAGTTGGAAATTTTATTTGATGGAATACTTATTGTTACATGTGTAAATATTTTTCCTCTCTAGCATATTTGACTATTACATACATAAATATTTATATTTTAGTGTTACTATACAAAACCGTTTAGGCCATTTAACTCCGTTTAAACACCATCTCAACACCCTAAACAGTAATGGAGTGGGATTTAGTTGGATTTTTTTTGATAGAATACTTATTGTTACATGAGTAAATTTTTTTCCTCTAGCATATTTGACTACTACATACATAAATATTTATATTTTAGTGTTACTGTACAAAACCGTTTAGGCCATTTAACAACATTTAAACACCATCTAAACATCCTAAACAGTAAACAAAGGGTGACCGACTGTTTACCATTTAGCGTTTAGGATAATACTATTGGACAAATAGCACCTATAAGTCAATTTAAGAAATCTCATTAAAAGTTAGGTAAAAGAAACTAGAACATGGAGGATAATTTTTCTTCGATAATATGCACACAAAAGGAGTAGGTGCTAGGTTATTATTTCACACTAGGTTCTTGTGTAAGGTATCCGAAGGTCTCAAAGGTTCTCTACCTCGTCCTCTTCACACTAGATTTATTGGGTTTGACCAAACATTGTGTTCTCCTGATGGTTGCAATTGTTTTGATCGTCTATGAAAGAGGTCGATGTAGTAAAAATTTATGCTGGGGAACTGCATTTAGTGGTGGTGGATAGGGCTTTGTCGAGGCATTAGTGGAGGCTGAGGTGCCTAGGTGCTTCTAGTTAGTAGTTGGGGAAGGTGGCGGATGCCGATGACCTGGCAGAATTGGTGAATATTGACTATTGAGGCCATGGTCAAGATGTTATATGATTAAGGTTGATTCATGGTCTTGGCAGTGGATCCACTGCGTGTGTTTACGGTAATTTTGCTGGTTGTGGATGCAGTGGCAGTGGTTGTGGTGGTACTTGTGTAGGTAATGGTGTTAGTGATGTTCAGAAAAACCTAGACCAACCTAGGAGAAACTAGGTGGCTTTTGTATTAAGAAAATAAGCACCCACATTCTCCTTGACCAGGACATGAATCTGGGTGGTTTGGGCGTATGTTCACACCCTCAACCAAGTGGGCTAGGCTTAGCTTCATTGCATTTGCAGTACATTGGTAGTTGTGTAATATATGATGACTCTGGTATTTGTTGGCCAATCTTTTTTTTTTAAAACTGAGGAGAGCTGCGTTTCATTGTATTAGACAGATGAGGGGGGGGTCCCAACAGGTTCCTCACTCATACGGGGACTAGATATGAGTGAGGCAATTACACAGACTCATGGTTGAAACACATAGCGAACAAACGACTCGACCTAGCCCAAAGTGACCTAGGCTGCAAGCGCCAAGCAGCCCTTGTAGTTTCTTCGCCCAAGCCATGCACCAAAGGCTGTGCTTATCCTTCAGCTCACTCCAAATCGTGTTAATCAAAGGAGATGCCCCCTTAAATACACATGCATTCCTATGTTTCCAAACAATCCAGGCACCTTAAAGTGTTCACTCCTTTTCTGTGCTCCTTGTTAACTTTTCTCATCGTCTTGCGCCACCAGTTAGCAAAACTCAGTTCATTTTGTTGGGGGACTGAATCTGCTAGGTTCAGTGGACTGAATAATCTGAACCATACTTGTCTTGCCTATGCTATATCGTCTCATCTTCTTTGATCACATAGTGGGCATTTATCTGGATGAGAGAGGCCCCTCTTAGCAAGCCTATCCGCCATCTTGAGAGACATTGACAGTGATTAGTGTTAGAAACTAACAGAAGGCTGAGTAGGTATTATTGCACGAGTCCATACTAGTATGCAGTTATAATCAAAGCTGTGTAAATAAGAAGGTGCATCGGTCTTATTGACAGACAACAATTACTCAAATTCTAACAGAACAGTCTAAAGCTAGATATTTCATGTTTTGCTACATCTGATTTTTTATATTTTTTCTGACAGGTGAATTATGACGCTAGCGGTTGGGTCAGTCATCAAGTCACAGACTTATGGGCAAAAACATCACCAGATGCTGGTGATCCTGTATGGGCTCTATGGCCAATGGGTGGGGCTTGGCTTGCAACTCACCTCTGGGAGCACTACTGTTTTACTTTGGACAAAGTGAGCCGCACAGGAACAAAATATACATTACTTTCGTGTATCACACTAAAAAGAGAATTGTTAGTGTTTCCATAGTTAGATATTAGAAGAGACAAAGAGTAGTGTCATGGTCATTTTTATTTAGTGACCTCTTGATGGTACTTCCATTCTTCTGCGCAATATCTCGTGTTACTATGAGTTGAATCTCATCTGCTGTCATCATGGGAGGGCATGCTCTCTAATTGGTCATGACACTTGTCTATGAATAGTAAAAGCACAACACAATCAGCACTAGGAAATGTGTTAGGAATTGATGGTCATGTGAACTACACGTGTTACATGTAGCATACTAGCACCAGAAAGAACGAAAGATGTATGTTTTCATTTTCTCATTACGTTTTGTACTTGTACCATTTTGAATCATGTGTGCCAACTTGTTATGTCAATAGTGTGCTGAAGATGCTCAATGATTCACATGCTGCATTTCAGTGCTATTCTAAAAACTGCACTGGAGTGTCGTTTACTGATACACAATCTTTATCTATGTCAATTATTTCTGCACATTGTAATACATGGATAGTTTATTTTGATTACATGTGATGATTTGGTGAACTCTGAACTAACTGTTTTCTGTTAACTAATTGCATGCTCACATTCCCTGAATATTTTAAAAGTTGCATAAAATTAAACAAGATCAAATGTGAGTTATTCCACTTTCATTGCAGGAATTTTTAGAGAAAACAGCGTATCCAATATTGCAAGGATCAGCTACCTTTTTATTGGATTGGTTAACTGAAGGACACAGGGGATATTTGGAGACCAATCCTTCTACTTCTCCAGAACATTATTTTATTGCTCCAGATGGTAAGAAGGCCTGTGTGAGCTACTCAACAACTATGGACATGTCAATTATAAGGGAAGTTTTCTCAGCTGTTATATTGTCTGCTGATGTAAGTCTTTTGTCCTTTTTGTCCCTACTGCAGTGTTATAGTTTGAAAATAAGAATAATCTTAATTTCTATTTCTTCCCGAATCATCTATTTGTTTCAGTAATAAATATGCATTGTGAACATTTATCAGATTTTAGGTAAATACGACACTAATGTTGTTCAGAGAATAAAAAAAGCACTGCCACATCTCCCACCAATGAAAGTTGCTAGAGATGGTACAATCATGGAGTGGGTAAGTGGATGCTGCTCTTTCTTTTGCTATCATTCCATCTCATATTCTGCTACAATGTTGTCTTAACACTTGTGCTCTATCTTCTATGTGCAGGCACAAGACTTTCAGGATCCTGAGATTCATCACAGACATGTGTCTCACTTGTTTGGTCTTTATCCTGGACATACTATGTCACTTGAGGAAACACCTGACCTCTGCAAAGCTGTTGCCAACAGTCTTTATAAAAGAGGTACCTTTTTTTTTTCTAAAAGTAAATGTGCATAAGAATATGTATTAGTTTTTTGTTGTTTTCAATTCGAGTAAACTACTTAAAACATATTCCTCTAAGAGCGATCAACCTCAAAGCAGGTACTTATGTTCATATAGAAATATTGGATTTCAAAGTTGTTTTCTTTGGACTGTGTACCTTCATTTGGCAAATCAAAATCATTTTCTTCTTCGTTATGCTTGGTCAGAAATTGCAAAGGCTTATCCATGTATTTGCTGCTAGATTAGACGTTTACGTTTTCAGCTCCATATAAAGTTAATCTGTAAATATTAAAATTTTCAACAGTTTCATGACACTGCCAGAAATGTTCACTTTGTTTAGTGACAAATCCATTGCTCAGGTGATGAAGGCCCAGGCTGGTCTACTTCATGGAAAATGGCCCTATGGGCCTGTCTTCACAACGGTGACCATGCATACAAAATGATACTGCAGCTAATCACTTTGGTGGATCCAGAACACGAGGTTTCAAGGGAAGGAGGCCTATACAGCAATCTGTTCACTGCACATCCACCTTTCCAAATTGATGCAAATTTCGGGTAAACATGATCATTTAACTTGGATCTAGTTTATACAGCATAGCGTAATAGGCCTGTTTGGCATAGCTGTAGTTTGTTGTCATAGGGTGCAGGAAGAAGCCAGCAGCAGCAATCACTGGCTAGGATCACTGAATTAGCCAAATCAGTGGCTGCAGTCACTGAATTAGACAAAGGAAAGGACTGAGAGTGATTTTAGGAAATCACAGAGATAGATTTCAGGAATAAACTCAGGCCTCATGGCTATGTAAAGGAGTTGTTGGAAGGAAGAAAGCAAGAAAGGTTTTGCCTAATCCCTCTCTTCCTCTAAACACAATAGGGAGCCGACAGGCAAAACCTCGCTCCAATCCCAGCTGAGACTACGATCAACATCTATGTCGTCAAGGTGAGTTACCTACACCTCCACCATTGCCGCCATACCGGCGACATAACATCCTGGTATTCGATCCCAGGCCATCCTCCCCTACCCCTTTCGCCACCCAAAACCTCCACGCAGCCGCCGACGCCATCATGCCGGGCACTGTGGTGTCCCAACTCAAGGACCTCACAGCCGCAGTCACCGCCCTGTCCGCCACCACTGCCGCTCACTCTTAGGCGATTACCCACCTGGAGTAAGCCCGCCAGGGTGTCCCAACTCAAGGACCTCACAGCCGCGGTCACCGCCCTGTCCGCCACCACTGCCGGTCACTCTTAGGCGATTACCCACCTGGAGCAAGCCCACCAGCCATCTCATCGCACGGGGGACATCTCCTCTGGCTCCACTCACACTGGCGAACACTACAATGACTGTCCTCCAAAATTCGAGAAGATGGACTTCCTCAAGTACGATGGCACCAGCGATCTGCTGACCTTCATCAACCGCTGCAAGTCATACTTCTTCTAGCAGCGCATTGTTGAAGAGAAGGTTTTGATGGCCTCCTATAACCTGTTGGACGGCGCACAGTTGTGGTATATGCAGGTTCAGCACGATGTGGGCACTCGTCCATAGTGCCGCTTCACCGAGCGCCTCAACCTCCGGTCCGGTTTGCCACTCCGCTCCAACCCCCTTGGCGAGCTGACGGTGTGCAAGCACACCAGCACCGTTGTGGAATTCCAGGATCGGTTCCAGGCGCTGCTCCCTCGCGCGGGCACCCTCACTGAAGCACACCGCGTCCAGCTGTTCACAGCGGGCTTCCAACCGCCCCTCTCCCTCAACGTTGAGATCCACAACCCCCGGTCCTTGGCTGTCACCATGAGCCTGCATGCAAAATCGAGCTGCGCGGATAGCTGGCAGCTCCACCGGCTCCCTCCCGCTCCTTGGCCAGGGGCATCCTGCGGGCTCTCAGGGCACTGGTCGTGTCCACACTCGCTTTGCCGGCGCCATCAGCAGTGACTGACCATCAAAGGCCGCCAGGTCAAGCGGCTACTGCTGGCCGAGATGGAAGAGCGTCGGCGCCTCAGACTCTGCTTCAGTTGCAATGAGAAGTTCGGCCGCGGCCACAACAAGGTCTACCAGCGCCTGTTTCTCCTGGAGCTTGGTGATGAGGAGTACGACGAAGCAGAGGCCTTTGGGAAGCCCAAGGGGGACGACGACCCACTCTCCCTCCACGTGATTGCGGGGGTGCGCACCAGTTGCTGCTGCATCTCCTTGCTCTGAAGAAACATCGGTTGCTGCTGCATCTCCTTGCATCGAAGAAACATGAACGCCATCGGTCGCTACTGCATCTGAAGAAACGTGAACGCCATCTGTTGCTGCGGCTTAAGAAACATGAACTCCATAGGCTGCACCATCACCTTGCATTCCATCTTCGTCAACTATGGCATGAAACAAAAACGGAAGAATGAAACCATAACCAGAAGGAAGACATGGCAAAACTGAAAACTGAGTAAAGGAGCACCTTGAATTCCATCGTCGCACACCATGTCATAATCGAGTTCATGAGCAGGGCCATCAAACTCTGCAACTGTCATCCCAATCTATGGGATAGATTTGGCCTGATTCGGGTGGCTATAGGTTTAAATCGGTACCTAATCGGTCCCCAAGACGAAGTCCCTGAGCACCCGGAGCGAATGAACGAAGATGTTACCGAGCCGAGCAGTCACCCAGAGCTAAGGGCCAGTCCCTAGGCTCAGACGCCAGGGATGGAACTTATCCCGTCCGTCTGACCACGAGCCAGCCGAGCGTCGAGGCAGGCGAGGGAGTCCCCCGAGGTGATTGAAGAAATTTAGCGTGAAGCGCCAAATACCTGGGATTCTCCTCAGCTTTTGCGGACCTTCGTATGCCGTGGAGATACGATGGAGGTGGTGGAGGACGAGGAGGCGAGCGAGCAGGTGAAGAAGCTCAGGGCTGGGCTAGCGTCGGTGTCTGGCCAAATTGAAGTTAGTCTGCGTAACCAATTGAGATTACAGATTATGCCTGTTAACTGCTGGTCACCGCAGGAGGTAATGAAGATCTCCGAGAGCCGTAGACGCCAGCTAGAACGGGCGGCTCTGTCGGTTGCTGAAAACCAGAGGTTACACGAGTCTGTGAAGAATCTGGAGAAGATGCTGGCTGGAGCACACGCCGACCTGGATAAGCTGTGAGCAGAAAAGACTCAACTTGAAGCGGAGAACTGGGAGTTGAAGAATCAGCTAGGCGATGGTGTAAGTCGAGAAAAAAGTAAGGCCGTAGGCCCTTCGGTGTATTGCTTTCATATCTTCAGTTTGCCCATGCTAACCGAAATCTTTTACTGGTGTAGAGCTTGTTGAAGCTCTAAGGCAGGCGGAGGCCGAAGCGGGTTTGGCGCGTGTTGCCAAAGTGGAGGCGGAAACCGAAACGCGCTTGGCACGTAATGCCAAGGCGGAGGCAGAGACCCAAGCTCTGCTAGCGCGGGAAGCCACAACGCTAGTGGAGAAACAAAGGGATGAAGCTCGTACGGCGGAAAAACGACTTGCCGACGAACTGCAACGTGAGTTATTCTTCATGTTAATACTCATCTTGCTATGAGAAGCTTTTAAGACGATTGCCTTGTCTGCAGTGATCCGAACCAATAGTCAGGCGTAGTTCCACGACTTCGCGCTCCGGCTGGAGGCCAGTAAAGAGACGATGAAGGCCATGATCGATGGGATAAAGCCCGTGCTGGACCTCATCGACCCACAGTTGCCGGGGCCCGACAGGCGACCGTAGTCAGCTGTCATCGTGGAGAGGTGTAGGTCGGTGCTGGAGAACTTCAAGCATTACGCTCGTGGCGTTGCTTGTTCTGCCGCGGGCCATGCACTGACGGTTGTCTGGTCATTCTACCCCTCGGTGAAGCTCGAACGAATCGATGGTGGCTTTGCCCGAAATCTAAGCGACGAGCAAATCACCGCGCTGGAGGAGGTGTCTGATTCGGCAATCAAGCTGGCGGACGACTTAGATCTGTTCGGCAATGCTGATCCTCAACCATGATGACATGTAACAAATTTATCTGTGTTATGCCGAACAACTATGTATGAAACATTATGTTTAAGATGTACGAAATGTTAATATTTAATATTAACAATGCATTGTTAGTCCTTTATCTTGTTATCTGCCCCGGCTATTCCACACCCCATGAAGTTAAGAGCTTAGCTCCTGTGCGCGCTTAGGAATATAGGTATTGCCGAGGAGCCACTGCCGACTGCCCATGACGCAGAGCACTATTGCCCTTGCACGTTTAGGTGCTAGACCGAGAACAGGACTTATTTTGGATAACGCGAAGGAGAACGTGGTTGGTCGGCGAATCGAAGGGTGATAGGATGCGTCATCTTAAAGATGTTTAGCATGGAGAAATAAATAACTTGAGAAAAATTATGGAAAACATCAGGGATAAAATCATTATTGAGATGCATATATGCATAAAAAGAGACATATTTAGTAGAACATCTCAAGGATAGAAACGCCCAAGGTGTTCAATGCGCCATGAATTAGGGGTGTCGACGCCGTCTTGATCGCATAGCCTATATGACACTGGTCGGGTCATAGCTTTTATATGTATGGACCTTCTTAGAATCAGCGATGCAAGCCTCCATTCTGGCCGAGAGGTCCATCGCTTCGGCAATGGCGAGTCCTCTTTCGCATCCATAGGCGGTGGAGACGTTGGCGCGTAGGGTGAGGACGCCCTGCTCCATTGGAATCTTCAACACCAGATAGACATAATGGGGCACGGCCATGAACTTGGCGAGAGCTGGTCAGCCAAGGATGGCGTGGTAGGCGGTGTCGAAGTCTGCCACAAAGAAATTCACGTACTCAGTACGGAAGTGGTCGGCGCTGCCAAACTGGACTGGCAAGGTGATCTGCCCCAAAGGTTGTGACGCTCTGCCAGGTATAATGCCTCAGAATGGAGAATCAACAGGAACAAGATCGTCTTTAGTGAGTCCTAACTCAGTTAGGGCTTCGGCGAAGATGATATTGAAGGCACTCCCACCGTCGATGAGGACCTTCTTGAACCGCACGTTGCGGATGATTGGATCCAGTACGAGTGGAAAACGCCCTGGGTATGGGATATCTGCCCACTGGTCGGCCCTACTGAATGTGATAGGATGCTCCGACCAGTCTAGATATTTGGGATCGGCGATCGTGTCGTACTTGGTGATCGACATGACCTGCCGAGCGGTAAGCTTCTGCTGGCATTTGCTCTCGGAGGCGGCGTGTCTTCCGAAGATTGTGGCAACGGTCTTGTTGGCATCTTGGAAAGCATGTCGTCAATCCTTAGGACGCTCCTCCTTGCCATCATCTGATTCGTCGTCCTTGCGCGTCTGCCGTTTCTTCTCTTCATGGCGGAAAGCTTTGGCCATGCCATAACATTGACGCATGGTGTGCTTGCTGTTCTTGTGAATTGGGCACGAACCGTCGAGGAGCTTTTCGTAGGTAGCATTGAAATTGCGTTTAGTGCGCGGCTGCTCTACGTTGTTGATGAAGTTTTCCGGTCGGCGGCAACGTGGCGGTGCAGTCCTCGATCCCTTTGGCCGATCATTATGCCGGCGTTCGCGATCGTCGTAACGCCTGTCGCGATCTTCATAACGCC